AGCCCCCGGTGGTGCAGAGTTAAATCGCTGAGCTACTGAACTTGTTGACCGAAAGGCCGCAGGTTCGAATTTGGGGTGCAGTGTGAGCTCCTGCTGTCAGATCCAGCTTCTGCTATGGTTTTGAACATTTCCATATGCAAAAACATGGAAATGTGAGTTGATCAATAGGTACTGCTCTGGCAGGAAGGTAATGGCGCTCCATGCAGTCATGCCAGCCACATAACCTTGGAGGTATCTACAGACAATGCCGGCTCCTTGGCTTAGAAATGGAGTATTACTACCAACCCCCATGATGGGGACTTAATGTCAAGGGAAAACCTTTACCTTTACCTATTTTGGGTGCATATTCTTTTCTCACCATGAGGACTGGGGAGAGAAGCACTGTTGAGTGGGGAAAGGGTATCATGGTCTGGTTCAATACCAGTTCTTTTATGAAGCTTTGAGTCTTAATTAAGTCATTTGGAAATTCAATCAAAGCCTCTCATGTAACACACAGTATGATCTTGCTGGAGGAAATACCTGGCCACACCACAATGTTGCTGATGATACAAGAGCTCTATCTGCCAGAACACACAATGCAACATAGTGATTGAAAATGAGTCATTTAAATATGGAGTGTAATATTATTAGTATCTTAATTGTTTTAGTAGTGTCTTTGAATCATTTTTTGCACAAAAAGAAGGAACCGTTCTCAATTGACAAAGGAGAGTTTTCAATTATCTTCGCCACATATGATTTAAAGATCAAATGAATCAAAAATACTTTTTCAAGAGAGACATTTGGGTATATTATCCAGCTGTTTTCTCTCTTTTTAAAATTAATACAAGGAACATGGTTTGACAGATGAAAGGATGCAAATGTTAAATGTTGAATTCCAGCAATAAGCTTTTTGCAGGTAATTCTGGCCTGCAGTATTCACTCGGTTAGAACAAAAAGGAACAAATGACTTCACTTTGGATCAAAAGCCATTTTACTATAGAACCTCCATTATCACATCCTAGGGCCCTCACAGCTCTGCCTCTGATCCTGGGTCACTCTTCTTTGTTGCTATAAGCAGACATGGAATGCGCCAAATTATTTTGCACTTTATTTCCTAAACCATAAAAGACCCTTATATACATATAATAAGGCTTACAAAAAGGTACACAATCTAAATGTAAAACAGTTCAGAAAACGCAGCGTGCCCACAATGCAACCACCAAATTGCTCTATGTGGCCCAGTAACTGCAGCATATAATAGAGCTTATTCCAGTTATATAATGGCTATCTCCGCATTTCTTCACTCAGTTTGAAGGACTGCACTTGGCCCTTAAAGACAGTGACATAGGACCATGTTGACCTTCTTCCATACTCATTCTTTAGAACAGTGTTTCTCAACCTGGGGGTCGGGACCTTTGCGGGGTTGTGAGGAGGTTTCAGATGGGTTGCCAAAGACCATCAGAAAACATTTCTGGTGGTCTTAGGAACCCCTTTGGCAGAGAAGTTCTCTCTGCCTGTCCTTCTCTTCCTTTTTGGAAACAGATAGAGAATCCTCTGCCGTGACTGGCTGACTTCTCAGCCAAGGGAAGTGCTGTTTCTGAGACTCCAAGCGGGGAGGGGAGAGCAGGTGTGCTTGGTGCATGGCAGCATCGTGCGCATGTATGGACGGGGACAGCATGCGAGGCTGGAGAGAGGCTCACGCCAGCAAGTCCCTTCAAGGCAGGGGGGTTCTGTGTGGGAAGTTTGCCCAATTCTGTCATTGATGGGGTTCAGAATGCTCTTTAATAGTTGGTGAACTATAAATCCCAGCAACTACAACTCCCAAATGTCAAGGCCAATTTTTCTCAAACTCCACCAGTGTTCATATTTGGCCATACTGAGTATTTGTGTCAAGTACCAGTGCTCTCTGGATGTAGGTGAACTACAACTCCAAAACTCAAGGCCAATCCCCACCAAACCCTTCCAGTATTTTCTGTTGGTCCTATGTGCCAAGTTTGGTTCAATTCTATCGTTGGTGGAATTCAGAATGCTCATTGATTATAGGTGAACTATAAATCCTAGCAACTACAACTCCCAAATGACAAAATCAGTCCCCTCAACCTCATCAGTATTCAAATTTGGGCATATCAGGCATTTTTATCAAATTTGGTCCAGTGAATAAAAATACATCCTGCACATCAGATATTTACACTACGATTCATAACAGTAGAAAAATTAGAGTCATGAAGTAACAATGAAAATAATGTAATGGTTGTGGGTCATTACAACATGAGGAACTGTATTAAGGGGTCATGGCATTAGGAAGGTTGAGAAACACTGCTTTAGGAGATATAAATGATGGTACCCTTCTACTGCTGCTACCAAAACTCAAACAAACAAGAATACCCAATTAATTTTATCTCCCACTTTGCAATTTTACATTTTCCGTTCAACACTCAGAATTCTGAACATTTGGTCTTGGTTGGCTATTTCTGGTTGCCTCTATACCCCCCGCCCCCATGTTTCCTTATTTGTGTAAACATTGGGATTTTCCAAACTTTGGTACCACCTTCTCATGCACAGTTGGTATTGTCTCGCCAACATATGAAGATACCCTGGAAGATTGAGTTCAATTAGCATATAGCTTCAGCATACAAGATATTCTGTTGCTTTTATGGGCTCTATTGCTTCTGCCTGGTATATTGTTTTGGTGCAATGATTTTAATATTTGTAATTATTATTTTATAGTATAATAATGATGATGAAGTATCATAATAATACTGCTATCTCCCTTTTGCCCACATGTGTAAAAAAAGTAGCTAGCTTCCAGGAGGCGATTTTTCCCCACCACATTCTGTTTTTGATCTAGTTAAGAAATTTGCCAGCACTTGCATTAATTTTAGTGAATACTAATTTTTGTTAATTTATTAAGTTGATGTTACACAGCGGATACAGATCTTACAACCAGCATTTTGTATTGCTGTTATGGATTCATAATCTAGAGTTATAGATATGTAACTACTCTTCATTCAGTAAGACTACATCATCTTAATGTAAGATTAAGTCCCCCAGGGGAGATAGGGTGGAATATAAATAAAGTTTATTATTGTTATGATTATACACAAATCCCCCCCCCCCCCACCAATCTCAGCTTAACAACCAACTGCACACTGAGTGAAAGAGATCTATTCAGCTGTTGATTGAGGTATAAGGAGAAGGATGTTTTAAGCTTCGTCCTGTCAGGAAGTGAAACTGTGACAATCAGAACTAGAACCTCATTGCAATTCTTCATGGCAGTCTTACTCACTGCAGGTAGTGGTAGGGATGGAAATGTCATCCTCCGTGTAATCCGATCAGGAGCTGAAGAGAGCACCTTTACCTAATGCAACTGTTGGTCATCAAAGTGGGCTAAAAGTGTGGTTTTGCATATATAACAGTGGTTCTCAATCTGTGTATCTCCAAGTGTTTTGGCCTACAACTCCCAGAAATCCCAGGCAGTTGATGGCCAAAACATCTTGGGACCCACAGGTTGAGTGAGAATCAATGATACAGAAGAAAGTAGCTGTTTGGTTAATTCTGTCTGGCTAATCCTGCAGATATTGTGAATGCCGAAAAAAATTTAAACATAAAAAGAAAATGCAGGATTCTAGTAGCACCTTTGAGTACCTTGAAGACTCACTTATTTTGGCATGAACTTCCATGGATACTACACTGAAATAAAGCAGTTAGTGCTACTTAGTTGTTTCTCCCCACAATTCTATTTTTATGATGTGACAATCTAATATGGCTAATCTCTTTGAAAAATGCTTACCCATGGCAGAGGTGATAAGAAAGAGTTTACTCTAGAGATGGAAAAGACTGTGAAGTGTGACCATATAGTTCTCAGGTTGGGCACCAGTTCCTTAACTGTTTCTGTGTGGAAATGAGGGGGGGGGGGTGTATTTTACTGAGGCATTTCATATTGCTTTGTCTCCAAAGTATCCAGAGAATGTACTTATCTCCATCACACATGTTTTCCTTCCCCTGTTCCAACAGAAATCATCAGTTTGCTTTGGCATCACATGGGAGAGTGCCAGCTCCTCCCAGTTTCTCTCCCCTCGCATTTTTAAAAAAAGAGAACTTTTCTACTCCTCTATAGCAGTGGTTCCCAACCTGTGGTCCATGGATCACCAGTGGGCCGTAAAAACTAAAATATGGTCCATGGCCTCAACGTTACTACACCGTTGCAATGGGAGTGACTGGTTTTCTGTGGGCAAGCAGATGGCGACTACTGGATGACATATGTTCTGTATCAGAAACTAGAGCTGATGTGGTCTATTCAATGTTATTTTCTGAATCAGCACCCCAAATAACCAAACCAAATCTAAAGTTGACCAAAAACTGATTTGTAACCCTTTTGGTAATAATGATGGAGAGTGGTCCCTGACCAAAGTGGTCCCTGATCAAGTGATCCTTGGTCAAAAGAAGGTTGGGGAACAATGCTCTAAAGCAAAGTACGCTTACTTTGGAATTGTCACTGCTTGTTAATAAAAAAATAAAATGAATGTACTTATTTACTGCTCTGCTTATGGTCCTTACAGTAATGTCAATAACTGTATCTTTGGGATGCATTTAAGGACCGGTCACAGGAAAAATCACAAAAGAGAATGAACGCAGGAAAAGAAAACAATTCCCATCACACCTAAATTTTAAACCACATCTATGCACAGGGAATAATCTGAGGGAAATTCCCAAGCATTTTTAAAAATCTTATGTTTCTACACACTTAAGAAACGGGCTCTAATGGGGAATTCACAGAATGATCTTGTATTGTCTGATGGGCTCCATGTTTTGAGTATATAGAAATGCTTGGAGAGGAACTGTAGGATGAAGTCCTATGTCTCTATTCAATCCCATTAACAGAGATACTTTGCATTATGTTCATAGTGAGTTCCTACCTGCTTAATATGGAAGCACAACAGGAAATTTTTATACGAAGTTAACCCTCCTTTCTCTCACACACATCTCAAAGTAAAACAAAATGAGGGAAATCCAATTCTTACAGTCAGTAGTGATTTCGTAGGGGGAATTGAGGCGTGCATCTCCGCAGGGTGAAGTGCTCACATAAAGATGGAACAGAATGTTCTCTTTGAGCCTGTAGCCTCCCTCTTTTAACCGTACAAAGATTGATCGCTCACCATCTTCTCGTCGTTTGCTAGAATCACAAAGAGAGAGTGGAGGTCATTTGTTACATTCCAGATCAGAACTTATTCTATTCTTCCCATGAGTTAGCTTACAGCTTCTTTGTTATACAGTATTTCTTCTGTGGTATTCCGTAGTATTTTTCTCTGGGTAATATTTGTATAATCTCCAAAGTGTCAAAGTGAAATTTTAGAAATTTCAGTATTGGCTGGCATTTTGTATTGCATTTACAGATTCTTAATCTAGATTTATTAATCAGTATAACTTTGTGGTCTTACTGTATGACTATGTGAATGTCCACCCAGCCCCCTTAACAACTATGCAGTTATGCTGGGAAAAGCAAATCTGTCTGACTAAAGTTTGGGCTGCAAGAAGGAAGATAGTTTCATAGCTCTCCCACCAATGTGTGAGGCATTTACAATCAGAAGTAGGTCCCTGTTGCAATTTCTTGCCTTATGTGCTGATGATAAGTGACTAAAAATGTCATTCCCTTTGCAACCTGATTGGCAGTTGGAGAGATCTCCTTTGTCCATTGCAGCTGCTGGCTGTAAAGGGGGGCTGGTTCAGGATACATTACTTAGTTACACAGAAGAAATGAAGTAGCTGATGTAGAATATTGGTGTTCTTTATTATTTCTTACATCATGCTGTTTCTCCAGTGAACTCAAAGGAGCATCCATAGCTCTCTATTTCCTCCCTTTATCCTCATAACAAATTTGTAATGTAGATCAAGCTGAGAGAGATTGTTTTTCCTGAGATCACACAGTGGATTCTATGGCTCTGTGAAGACTTGAGCCTCTGTCTCCTCAATACATCTACACCAGTGGTTCTCAACCTGTGGATCCCCAGGTGTTTTGGCCTACAACTCTCAGAAATCCCAGCTAGTTTACCAGCTGTTAGGATTTCTGGGAGTTGAAGGGCAAAACATCAGGGGACCCACAGTTTGAGAACCACTGCTCTACACTATTCAAGGTCTCATAATTTCTATCTATCTGGTTGGTTGGAGGTCCTAACCACCAAATAACATAAGGTTGCTTCCTGACAACACCTGGTCACACAAACTTTTCTCTGAATACACTCCAGAATGATTGTGTTGAGTGATCCCAACAAACCACAATCTTGTATTAACAGAAATGAAAGTAGAAATGTCCCTACTGAATTATAAATGCTGAAGAGAGTGGGAGCAGAGACCTAGAAGCTCATCACATGGAGGGTTAGAAGCCTAGGGACACTGGGGGAAACCATGGGGCAGCTTCATCCTCCTATGACATGCTATTCCATAGCATTTGCCAGCTGTCCCCGACTTCCTTCCATGCTGTCCTCAGCTGCTTCAATGAGGATACAGGTAGTAACCTTTTAGCCCACTGCTGGCTCACTGCCAGGATGGAACCCAACGTAGCCCCGCCGGAAGTAGCCCTATGTTATATGATGGCCTCCGTCAGACTCTCTCTCTGCAGCATGCCGGTAGCATGTTAGGATGAGGAAAAAACCCATATGATGAGTTTGCTACTCTTGAACTCACCTCATCTCCAACCTTGAGGGACAAGTAATAAAGAAACAGCCCTTTAGTGATATCTTTAGTGTTCAGTTCCTTCAGGGTCTTATTAGCTGCCTAGCTTGTTTACAATGGGAGTGAATTGTAATTGATTCAGTCAGTAGCCCTCCTGTTGTACTCTCAACATGTAGCAACTAGCATAGTTGCCAGTAGGTCTTTTGAAGCTAAGTGATTTTGATGAACAGACGAACAGAAGACTGAACACAATAGAAGGCCTAGAAATGGATGAACAGAAGACTGATCACAATAGAAGGCCTAGAAATGGAAACCTTTGGTTAACAGCTGTCTTTTTGGCTCTGTGCTGGCAGAAGATGCAATGTGCATGGTCTTGTGTGTGTGTGTGTGTGTGTGTGTGCACAAAGGTTATTTTTGCCATGCTGAAAAATGGAGAAGGCTCCTGCATCTTTAACAGTTATGTAGAAGAGGAAATTTCAGTAGGTGTTACACACTAGGTAACATGCAGGACCTGCTGGAATTTCCTTTTCTACACAAAGATACAGGAGTCCTCTCTAGTTTTCACCCTAAGAAAGATTTTTTCCTCTTGTCAGGAGCAACTTGAGAAACTGCAAGTTGCTTCTGGTGTGAGGAATTGGCTATCTACAAGGACATTGCCCAGAGAACTCTTAGATGTTTTGATGTTTTACCATCCTTGTGGGAGGCTTCCCTCATGTTCCTGCAAGGTAGTTGGAGCTGACAGAGGGAGCTCATCCGCACTCTCCCTGGATTTGAACCTTTGACCTGTCGGTCATCAGTCCTGCTGGCACAATGGGTTTAACCCATTGTGCCACTGGGGGCTCCACCCTAAGTCAGATACAACATGGAGACTCCTTGAAAGAGGTTGGTTGTGTGGAATTTTGTTATCATCATTCTCCCCACAACTCTAGGATGGTTGTTAATGCTTGCTAACTCTAAATGCAGCTGAAATATTTTCCTTTTCCACAGACTTGATCAGCAGTGTTTGGCGTCTCCTTGCACTTGCTTTCTATAAGCTTTTCTTTTTGCCAGAGTACTCTGTCTCTCTCCTCCACCTCCTCCTCCTTCCCAAGCTCCGTCTGCCTGCTGGTAAAACTGTTAGGCTGTCACTCTTTCACGGTTTGCTTGTTTTGTCGGTTTTTTGATGCTGTGATGCGTTTTCTGTCGAGTGAAATTTACAGGCACATTACCCTGCTTGACAGGAACACTGAGCCACCAGCATCTCCTGAGGAGAGGGTGGACGCCTGCAGCTCCCTCATTTCCCTACCACCTTCCGCGAAGTCTCCCATCCACTTTAAATTGCATTATCACCCTGACACAAACCTCTAGAACAATGGACTACCTGAAGATCTGACCACTCAGGAGTCTGAAAGCAATCACACACCTATTTTGAAATAATTAAAAGCAAAATAACTGGGAATGGGAGAGAACACAAGCCCTTCTCCACCCACCCACTCATATTTTTTGCCTGCTGTTGTTATGCTAAACTGCATGATTGCATTTTATGTTTTACTAACTACAATAAACTGCCCTGGAAAGATACCTAATCCTGGTAAGTGTTCTGAGTGTGTGCATGAGCCTTCAAGTCACCTCTCAATTTATGGTGATTTTATAGGGTTTCTGCAGGCAGGGAATACTCAGAGATGGTTTGCCATTGGCATCCTCTGAAATAGAGCATATAGAGTTTCGTATTCCTTGATCATTCACCATTCAAGAACTAAGTAGGTCAAACACTCCTTAACTCCCAAAATTAGATGGATACAATAAAACAAAACCAGGCATTATCTAAAGATGGAACCAGTGGGTGTAGTTACTTGAGTGTTGGATTAAAACTCAGGGTGCAAGTCCCTGTTCAGTCATGGAAACCCAATGGTTGATCTTGGGCAAGACATCTCTCAGTCTTAGATGTCAATGGCAAACCTTCTCTGGACACATCCTGCCAAGAAAACCTCATAATCAGCCTCCTTTGAGTTGTCCTAAGTCAAGGCTGGCAGAATGGGAATCCAAACTCTAGTTTCTGAGCACCCAAACCAGCCTTCAGCTACACCATACTGGCTTCCTAGAATACTACATTTTTACCAGTGTAGCAATGAGACAGTGTGAATAAGGTTATTTTATGTTTCAGTCTGCACAACAAAGATTTTTTTTTGTAGATTGATAGTAGAACGAGGCATGGCTCATACACAGATATGCAAGAAGTTAGTGGGTTTCATGTCAATGGAGCAGTGAGTCTGCACTGGGCTTTAATTCAAATTTTCAAGGGACTCCTTAAAATGCTGAAGGGAACCCCTCAAACAGGTTCAGCATCTTAGGCAGCTCCTTTAAAGTTCAGAAGAAAACCCAAAGGAAATTTACCCTTTACATATAAGTCGATAACCACAGCTATATCTGTCAGATTGAAAAGTGGAGATGGCTCCAGTATCTTTAATGATGGAGTCCAATAGGGAATTTCAGCATCTGTTGCTTGTCAGACAGCCAGGTAACAAGCAATACCAACTGAAATCCCATCTTCTTCACAGATATTAAAGCTGCAACAGACCTCTCCAGTTTTCACTCCGGCATACCTTGCTGCAACTCGAGGAAAACAAACCATGGTGATCCTTTCCACTTCTGGCAAGCATAGGAGCTATTCCAATTGTAATAAAATCTAATTCAAGTCAAACCCCATATAGATGCCGGCAGAACTTTCCTCATTGCATGCACACAAACTGGAGAGTGCTCCTATGATTTCAGTGGTAGTGTAAAAGAAGGAATTTTGGCTTGCTACTTGACTCTATGACAAGCAAAGCTTACTGAAAAATCCTCTTCCTGTCATGTCATTTTTGCTGTTTGCTGTTTTGCATTTTGTTGGATGCAGATTTGAAGGTCTCAAGAACTTGCATGTGTTTTTGTAGCCTTTTTGGTTGTTGTTACTATTTTTCTCCTCATGGCCAACATGGCTATCTCTGCTTTTTGTGCAAAAGAAGGCATATATATCCTTTATGTTGAGTCTACTCTTATCCAACTGATTAATGAGGGAAGTATGGAAGGGGAAGCTAAGGCATTTCTGGTATTCCTTTACAAGGAGCAGAAAATAAAAACAAAAACTGAACTTCCTCAGCCTTCCTTTGATACCTTTAGCATCATGAGAAAAATGATCATAAAAGGATTGTAGGTACCTTCAAGTCACCTATCAGCTTATGGTGACCTCATGAATGCCACAGAGCTTTCCTAGAGAAGGGATACTCAGAGGTGGCTTTGCCTGATTTTTGTCTTGTAAAAGGAACTGAAATGTAGTTCTGCAATGCTTCAGCCCTTATATTTGCCAAATCTTGTATTTGTGTGTGTCATCTATAGTATTTTTTCGTGAAGAGTTTTGCACTGCTTTGAGAATTTCCTTCGAATAATAACACAGAATTGATCCAAATAACATAATAACATAACTGAATGCACTATGGAGATGGATCGATACAGAGCTTAAGAAACCATGATTGCTCATCTGTCCCTAGAGAGAGAGAGATGCCATTCTTAGCACAAAGCAAGCATAAGGACTACTAAGTGGAGAAAATATAATAATGTTTAATATATGCCTAAAAGGAAATCCAAATGAAAATGAGAAGCTAGATGCTATAAGATCCTGTTATGAATATCCTCACTAACCTTGATCATTAACCCTCTAAATTTTACCTATTTTGGTCTAGCTATGTCCTTTTTTAAAGCTAGGACTAAGGATGAGGTGACAGTTGTTTGTGTGGATGCAATTTAGGGACACAGGAGGGTAGAAAACAGGGGGGGGGGATTTAATTCCTCTCCCGCACTAGAATCCTAGCAAAAATGCACTCTCCTATTTGTTTTCAGGAAAGATTAGAGAAGACAATGATGCTGGGGAAAATGGAAGGAAAAAGAAAGAGGGACAGATCAAGGACAAGATGGATAGATGGTATCCATGAAGTGACTGGCTTGACTCTGAAGGAGCTGGCGGTGGTGACGGCTAACAGGGAGCTCTGACGTGGGCTGGTCCATGAGGTCACAAAGAGTCAGAAGCAACTGAACGAATAAACAACAATTTGTTTTCAAAATTAAAAATCCATTGGCACCAACCTAGTATAAGTTGAACCATATGTTATTTATTTTCATCCATTCAAACCTCAATCCATGGCTGATACCAAGTGAGATACTCCCTCTTGGGCACACAGAAGACTGGGTGATTTGGAAGGCACTGAACAGACTGAGCTCTGGCACCATGAGATGCCAAGCCAACCTTAAGAAATGGGGCCACAAAGTGGTGTCCATGACATGCGAGTGTGGAGAAGAGCAAACCACAGACCATTGATTACAATGCAGCCTGAACCCTGCCACATGCACAATGGAGGACTTTCTTCTAGCAAAACCAGAGGCACTCCGAGTGGCCAGCTACTGGTCAAAGAACATTTAATATAATGCTAAGTTTCTAAACTTTGTTTTGTTTATAAAATACTTTGCAACTGTATCCTTGCTTTGCTCCTGATATGATAAATAAATAAACCCATTCAAATTATTTTATGCAGAGGAAGACTAAGGTAAAAACTATCTCTGAGCAAATCTTGCCAAGAAAACCCTGAAGACATTTGTCTCAGGGTTGCCACAAGTTGAAAATAACTTGAAGCCACGTGACAACAAATTATGGTTGGCAGAGAAGGCTAGAAAAAGGCAACACTACGCAAAACAGATCCAGATCAATGAATTCTCCTATTGTTGCTTCCATTGTGATGTTTTTTTGGCAGACAAAGGAAGTATTGCTGTATTTTCTTGGATTCCAGGGCTTCTCTCTGTTTCATGCACTGGTAGGCATCTCTTTTATGATCCAACAAACTTATTAATGGCCAACAGATTAGAAGAGAGCATGTTTATCGTAAATCACCTTCCCTGGAATGATTCAGCAGCAGCCAAGGAGGAAAATTCCTATAATGAGAAGATGGCTAGTCTTTCATGTTTGGGCCATTTGCAGCTATTACCAGGTCTGTGTTTAATGCATTCATTGAAACATAGCTGAAAGGATTCATAAAACATGGCTGTTGTGATTAAAATCTAAGAGCTGTAGAAGGAAAACAGACCTGGTGATGAAATCTGTCCAATTTCATTCAGTTACTGGGTTATGTGACAATAGAGAAAAAAGTATGCACCATTCACCCTATGTACAGTTATACATTAGATAAAAGGTCATATATCCACTTCTGTTTTTGATTTTTTTGTTTCCTCCCTATGACTTCCCCAATCCAAAAAAATTGCCACTCCTGGAGGTCTTCCAAAGCAGTGGGGGGGGGGGGATCATTTTCTTGAAAAATGTGATCATTAAGTACTTCAGGAGGCATCATAAAGCCTGTGGACCTCTGTATTCTTGCCACTTATTGTAATTAGTGAGTAAGGTGGTTGGGGGAAAACTTACATGGAGATACTTATAATCTCAAACTCATTGAACCCAGCCAAATCTGGTTATCTGAATGCAATGTTGGTAAATGCAACATGTTGAAGAAGCTCTCTACCAAGCTTTAAGGATTTGGCTTTGACCCATCAGGATGGATGTAATCAACTACCAGCCAAGAACAACATTTCACAGCACATGAAAATTCTTAATGTTAGGGATGGTCAGTTTCAGCTTCTCCTTTTTTTCTAGTATTAGAATGCATTAGAATGTCATTTAAAATGTGCACATAATTTAACACACATTTTTGCATGTATTTCTTCTAAAATATGCATCTCTGTAATGCTACTCTGTATAATTTCCCACCACTATGCATATTTTGTACATAATTATCACATCAGATATGTATATAATGCAGAGAATTACACTACAAAATTTAGAGGCATGTGCATACAGAAGGGTAATTGCAATCTGATTTACAAATTGATTTGAGATATGTGATTTTGGATTTTGACTAAAATGGGCATAAAACAAACTTATCTCCATTTCTGCATCTCATGTATCAGCCCTTTCAATGCCTCTATATTTGACATTGGAACAGATGCTGAGCAAAACAAGTTAAATCAATTGGGTTGCAACCACTTTTTAAAATAATGAACAGCTACATAGTCTTTTTATTTTGAACAACAGTTCAATGGAGATTAACAAATTTATTATACTACTAGCCATCCCCTGCCACGCGTTGCTGTGGCTCAGTCTGCGTATATGTGTTTTGTGTGTGTGTGTGTGTATGTGTGTATATATGTAGTTTTGCACATGCGCTGTAATGCTCTTTTATTTTTTTTGGCTTTTAAAGTCTCTTCCGCTGTGTTTTTCAGTGTGTTTATGAGTGATGGTCACTCGGTGGCCTGATAGGTGTCTTCTGTTCAAATTTGGTGTCAATTCATTCAGTGGTTTTTGAGTGATGTTAATCCCACAAACATACATTACATTTTTATTTATATAGGTGTATTGGAATGAACAATAATTCACAAATGTATGTCACATAATTGAGATACGCACACATATATGGCTAAATTGTATGCAGAAAATACTGACAGTAACTATTATGTTCAGAATTTTGTTCCTGTATACTTAACTTCTGTAAATAACCACTATTTGTTCAACTACCTCAAATCAATCAAGAAGAACCTTCAGTAGTGCTTCTTTTCATGTAGTCAATGCCCTGAAAGGAAGTGTGTGTTTGTGTGTGTTGGGATGGTGGTGGTGGTGGGGTCAAAACATGGCAATAGTGTCAAATCTAGTCTCCAGAGTTGTAGTCCAGCATGTAAAACCCTACAGCCTGCTAGCTTTCTGTCTTGCTGTAATTGTTCCATATTCTTAACTGCAATAAATTTGACATCATTAAAACAAGTGCAATGCTCCTAAATGGAATTTACCAGGCATCACCTGTATAGGGAGAAAGAAGTTCATTCTAATCGTGATTGGAGCATGGTTGAAAGCCTTTTCCATCAAGATTGTGGGGATCTAGGAAAAGACAGCTGATATGGGATTCTGGCCTATATTAGTACCCCTGGAAAAATAGCGGTGATAATACACATGTCCCAGCAATTAGTATCACAATTTACACTTATTAATTGGCACCGACTGGTGGCATACTAGATGTAAAGCTATGCTATGTTTGTTGTCGCTTTTTTGGTCAATGTAGTGTTTGATATTCCTTTCTTTTTTTTGCATTGACCCCACCCTCCCTGAATTGTTGAAGAGCTGCTACTTGCTGCCTCCCAAGGCCATTCCATGCCTGGTGGACAGTTCAGGAGGGAACTGGAGAAGTATCTTGCTATGTCCCTATAGCCATATATAAAATTAGTATATCATTTTTTGAGTTCTCTAAAGGACCCCAGTCAATTTCAGTGGACAGTGGAATTATTTTGTATCTGGATACAGGGATCTAGCAGAAAGCTTCCTCAACCTTTCTCCATTCTCCACCAGGCACAGAAGTCCAGGGTTTGTGAACTCTACAAGCTACTATGCTATGCTGAGCTATAAAGAAGGCTGGTCATAGTATCATAAACATTTGTAACCCAGTGCATACATCTATGCAACAGTTTGTCAATGTGTTTTATCTTAGAAAAAGAACGGTTATTCACCAGAACATTCTATATATCAGTTGCAGGGAACATCTGAGAGGGCCTTATAATGTGGACTTCCCATCTGGATGTGGTTGGCCATTGTGAGAAGAGGATGCTGGGCTAGACCTTTCGTTGGATGTGGGATGACTCTTCTTGGCCTAAAGCAGTGGTTCTCCAACTGTGGGTCCCTAAGTGTTTTGGCCTACAACTCCCAGAAATTCCAGCCAGTTTACCAGCTGTTAGGATTTCTGGGAGTTAGAGCCCAAAATATCTTGGCACCCACAAGGCCTAAAGCCTCTTGTCATCCCTGACTTAAGACCATTGAATCAATGGGATTTGCTTATATGCTGACCTATGTGTTGATTTAATGGGTCTACTCTAGCTCAGTTTCAGGTCATTTACTTTGTTAACTTGGAGATGTCTAAAACAGTTCAAAAATAGCCCAAAAAAACCCACAAGAACTGAGTTCAAAAATCTATTTTGACCCTTTTTTCTATGATAAACTCCTGGCAACCACAGATTCCTGATGATTATTCAAGCTTTATTTACCTGAGGTGCAGTTCCAGCTGTGAGTAAAGGAAGTGAATGAGGGCCCTTCTTGCCACAATTTCTGCATGACAGTCGTTGACCACAAGGCCTTGGTCATTCAGGTATTCTCCATTTATGCATTTGGTACCCGATGCCAGCACAATAACCTGAGCCTGCCGAACGTCCAAACCTGTAGAAAGATTACAAAAAACAAAAAACAACCACACACATGGAGCTTTTAGAATTTCCTGGAAAAACTATACCATAATTGCTGAAGCCCTTAAAGATCATCCTTTCATGTAGCAGCAGAGAAAGCCCTAATAGGATGATTATCTAGCTCCTGGAATATGCAGCAATCTCGTATCTTAGCTCTACTGAAATTATGCAGGGTCCATTCCCTGTCTGGACTGGTAATTTCCAGATAAAAGCCAAACAGAAGTTTACTTGTTAAACCAATAACTACATTGCAAGGAGATGTACATCCTGCACGGAGATTATAAAAGAATCTCCTGCTGAACTGCTTTGATATGGATGTGAGGTGTTGAATTTTTGCCATTTATTACATTGTACAACACTTTGAGTCTCCCAGGAGTGAGAAAAGTAGTATAGAAATGCAATAAATAATAATAATAATAATAATAATAATAATAATAATAATAATAATAATAATAATAATATAGTAGCCTGGTGAGATGTTTCATGGTGGTGATGGTTGCTCTTTTTTGTGACAGAAGCAGGAACTGAAATATTTCAAATATACGTTTTAAAATATGTAATTCATGGAATTCTCTGATCCTTTTCTCTACTTGAGTTTTTCAGGTTAGAGATCACATACTCTACAGTGAACCAGGCCTACTTATGTGCAATAGTGTGTAAGCAGACTTTTTACACATAACGTGATTGAAATGTGAACTGGAGTACACCAGTCAAACTCTTGATTTGCAAACAGCAGAAACTGATTTGTGCTGTAATAAGATTTTGCAAACAATTGTTTTATTTTTCTGGCAGATGAAATGAAGGGCGCCTTAACCTCAGTAAAGCCTAAGTAATTAAATAACCGTTAAAGAGAATTAATCTCAGGAGATATAATACATTAAAATAACATGCATTTAAACACTCACACAATCATGGCCTGCTTTTATCCTGCTTTAACCCACTTCTTCCAAAGCCTTACTGTAAGACTCATTGAGGCCAGACACCATTTCAAATAAAGTGGGAGAAATTATGTTTTTTTCTTTGTTATAACCTTGGCATGTGAGCCACTTGTCCTGGAAAACATTTTGAATTATTCTTTTCCTTCATGGCCTTACCAAAAACTGTTTGGAAAAATGTTAAACTACATGAACATTGAAAACACTAAGAAGTACTAACAGCAGGTGCGGAAGTATTCACTTTCTGCTTTCATGTGGAAATATAATAATAGAAAATGAAGGGAAACAGAAATAAAACAAAAGAAAGGGATGTGAACTTCTTGTTTTATTGAGAGCCCTCAACATGGCAATAAGGCTGAGATCTTTGGGTACATTCAAGGTCTTTAGCTCTCTAGAGTGCTAGGGCTTTACCAAACCACAACTCTTAGGATTCCATAGCATTGCGCCATGGCAGATCAAGTGGTATAAAACTCCATTAATTCAACAGTGTAGATGCACCTAACTCAACCAAGATTCTTTAAAATTGGGATGTGCCTGCTACTAACTGTAGGTTGCATGCTCAGCATGTGCTTTAATAGTGAGTTATAGGACCACACACACACACAGTGTAGTTATGATCCCACTATATAGTGTAGCTGGAAATAAATGCTTCATCACACTAGAGAAAAAAACTACTTAAAATCCAATTTCTGCTTCCTGCAGAATTCTGGGGTTTCTAGTTTAGTGAGGCTGTTAAAGGCTCCTCCCTAAACTACAAACCCCAGAATTCTGCAGGAGGCAGAAACTGGATTTTAAGTGGATTTTTTCTCTCTAGTGTGATGAAGTAGTAAGTTAAAACTCTCAAGAAATTACGTTGTGGAACCTATGTCTATGGAGGATACAATCTAAGAGTCCAGGTGGATATGAAAAAATGAAGGAATGACTATGAGAAGCATACTACAGGATTGAGCTGGAGGACCTAGGAAAGGCCTAGAAAGCACACCACTCTAAGCATTGCAATGCTCTCCAGCATGATTCTATGGTTAACTTTTGGATAATATATACAATGTAGATAGGATATAATGTAGATAGGATGCTTCCACTTATGACTTCATTACACACAATTCAATAAGCATTTCTACACACTGAAGAAACTGCCACCGATGGTGCCCTTCACATGACACAAGGTTCAAATGTAGAGCAGAAGTATCTTGCGACTTCTAAAGTGTTGGTTTTCCCCACCATTCCTGAGTCAATTGGCAAGTGACTTATTCCTGAATTCCTTGCACACTCAATTTAACATGTGATGGAAACCCCTCCTTGCCCATTAGTAAATAACACTATGACATTGTCATGGAGGGAGGAGCCAAGATGAGCAGAACTGAATCCTTTCAGCCTCCATTACCGATCTGGAAATATTTTTATTGGTTAAGTTTCTAAAAGTATAGATAGCAGATATGGTGTTCACATCGAAAGTGGAAGAACATTTTATAGATGAAAGGAAAGTAGGAAATACTAAGAGAAAAATGAGAATTTAATGATTAAAAATATAATAAAGGAAAAAAGTTGAAAATATAAAAATAAAAAAGGGAAAAATGTGTGGAAAAAAAGAGGGGTTGTTGAGCTTCCATTACCGTTTTGAGACTGAAGAAGAATAGCAAACAAGATATTCAAAACTTTCAGGAGAAAATAGCAAGCACACAAATCCTGCACTTTGTGTCTCTGTAGCCTTCTTAACAAGCTGGCCATGTATAAATATGTGTGGGGAAGTCATAGGGAGGAGGGAGCAGCTTGTTTTCTCTTACCCTGGAGACTAGGACGTGGAACAATGGATTCAAACTACAGGAAAGGAGATTCCACCTGAACACGAGAAAGAACTTCCTAACTGTGAGAGATGTTCAGCAGTGGAACTCTCTGCCCTAGAGTGTGGTGGAGGCTCCTTCTTTTGAACAAAGGCTGGATGGCCATCTGTCGAGGTTCTTTGAATGCGATTTTCCTGCTTTTTGCCAGGGGGTTGGATTGGATGGCCCACGAGGTCCCTTCCAACTTAATGATTCTATGATTCTATAAACTCCCCCTTTCAGCTCCCCTTTCCTGTTTCAGGTCATAAAAGTCCTTTTGAACTCTTGCCTGAAGCTCCTGCTGTGCTGCTTTTGCTTATCAAAAGGATAGCAGAGAGAGATTTAAGAGAGGTAAAGCTTCATTTCCCCACTCCCTCCTGTAATAACACAAGAATAACCCCTTTATATATGCTGTTGTTTTTTGGGCTGTAAGTTGAACTCTAGAGAAAGAGAGAAGTTTAAAAAGAAAAGAAAATGGGGAAGGACAGTGGAGGGAACAAGTCTTTACTGTGTGATTGCAAAACAAATAGATAAAATTTATAGAAAGTGGAGAAAAGGATTTGACGTGATGGAGGTAGGAAAATCTTTTTTTAAAATTTCAAAATGGAGTATGCCAAAGTTTTATGGAAACCTACTCTCCCAAACACTTGACCTTTTCAGTGGGGTGAAATCCCTAATGTCCGAAGGTCTAAATTACTTCCACGTGCTCAGGGACTTGTACAGTCATTCCTGATACTCTTTTCCAGCTTTCCACATGTTTAGGTAAAGGAAAAGGTTTCCCCCTGATATTAAGTCTATACATGTCTGACTATGGGGGTTGGTCCTCATCTCTATTTCTAAGCTGAAGAGCCAGCATTGTTCATAGACACCTCCAAGGTAATATGGCCGACATGACTGCATGGAGCACTGTTACCTTCCCACTGGTACCTATTGATCAACTCATATTTGCATGTTTTTGAACTGCTAGGTTGGCAGAAACGGGCTAATAGTGGGAGCTCACTCCACTCCCTGGATTTGAACCACTGACCTTTCAGTCAGCAAGTTCAGCAGCTCAGTGGTTTAACCTGCTGCACCACTGGGGACTCCTTCCACATGTTTAGGTGAATACATATGCAAGAGCTTTATGTCAAGATGTAGAACATAGGTTTTATTTGATGAAAATGCTAATGTGTTCTGGTAAGATAAATGTGGCTTTCTTCAGAGGCGATAGATTAATGTTACCTAGAAAGATCTCTGATGATCCATTTCCAAATTTCATCCAGTGAGGTGCCTCTCAATTAAATTTGGCAGCGTTATCAGATATGCCTTTTCATCTAATGTCTCTGAAAAGGACCACTATATGATTAACTGGTCAAAATATGTGTGATGTATTGTCGAAGGCTTTCATGGCCAGAATCACTGGTTGTTGTAGGTTTTTTCGGGCTATATGGCCATGGTCTAGAGGCATTCTCTCCTGATGTTTCGCCTGCATCTATGGCAAGCATCTGAGGATGCTTGCCATAGATGCAGGTGAAACGTCAGGAGAGAATGCCTCTAGACCATGGCCATATAGCCCGAAAAACCTACAACAACCAAAATATGTGTGGCTTTTCCAGACAATAAAAGCTATTTTCAGCATGTAGAAACATATGTCTCTTTTTCTCATTGCTTTTCTTTACAAAGCACCGCATTCATAAATATTGTGGATGACGATGATAATGACGACGAATGATTTCCTAAGCAATACAAGCTGTTCCAAAGCAGATTCTCATTTTCCGGGTTGGATTTCCTTTTTCTGCATAACATTTGATCAGAATGAATCCCTCCTAAAGCCCTATTGCCTCTAATGCTCTAGTGAATAGTTCTGCAAATTGCAAATGTTTTCAGTTACTTGTAACCCAGCTTTGCAAACAGATTGTTATCAGCAATGCAAATGTTTTCAGCCTTGTAAATAACCCATTATCAGCAATGCAAATGCTATCAATCCCATGTAACCTAATTTGCTCTTTAGAAAGATGAAATGCTGGTACTTGTCTGGGCTGTCTGATGAAGAGATCTGTGAAACAAAGAAGCTTCCCTTTATTATTTTCCTTCTTGCTGCCTGTGTGCACAGCTTTGTGTAACACTAGTGTTAGGGGACTTATAAGTCTTACTAATACAATATTCTACAAATTGTAGTACTGTCGTTATCAAAGAGAGAGTTGGGTTAGATCATCACAGCATAAATGGGGGAAGAAAGA